TTTGGAAATGGCCTTCTAACCCTTCCCAGATTGATGGGCAGCAACAATTGCTTCTCTAAGAATTGCTTGTCTTTATTCTTTGGCACTGTGTTAACACACACCTCAATCCTCAAGACCAACAAACTCCTAAAACTTTGACTTTTATAGAGGTAGTCACACTTGCTGATGATCAATTGATCAAGGGGATTTGATTAGCAGCACCTGGCTGCTACTTAGCCTCTTCATACCTTCAAAACTTAGTTTTTCACACATGGCTCCTGCATTTTGGCTTTATTTTTGTAAAATAGATGATGACATGGTGTAATATGTCATGTGTTGTTCTTCATCTGAGGTTGTATTTACCTACTTTTGAGAACTGCTAAGGACCAGCTGATTTTTATTATGTCCTGATACGTAAAACCATAGAACTCAAAGAGGGTGTACTTTCTTTTTCACACGACTGTATCTATTTTTTCACACATGGCTCCTGCATTTTGGCTTTATTTTTGTAAAATAGATGATGACATGGTGTAATATGTCATGTGTTGTTCTTCATCTGAGGTTGTATTTACCTACTTTTGAGAACTGCTAAGGACCAGCTGATTTTTATTATGTCCTGATACGTAAAACCATAGAACTCAAAGAGGGTGTACTTTCTTTTTCACACGACTGTATCTATCTCTTTATATCTATAGAGACAGATATCTATCTCTTCTAATACATCCACACACAACTTGAGGTTTGTTGCTGGCAGTTGGTGCTTTTCTACTCCGCTATCGCTTTTCTAATATTTAAATAAATCCAGTTTACCAAAAAGCTGTGTCCTTGAATCTCTGCCTACTAATCTTCGAGTCTGAGTAACAGGATGGATGAAACCTGACACTGTCTGTTTAATGGCCATAAAAGATAACAGCTTGCCCCAGCTACTTGAACCTGGGGAAGAAAGGAACAACATTCTTCACTTTTAGATCTTCGGTCCAACCTTCTCATTCCTGGGAGACGTTGTGGACCACATTCTCATTTTGCTGCCCTTATCAGCTTGGGATCTTGACTGCCGATCCCTCTTCAATTCTGAGCTTTTGGCTTCCTGCTTGCCTACTTACTGCTAGGACCTCAATCATGTCCTTCAACACTGATTGCTGAGATTCTGCCAGAGGTTCAGAATTACAGAGTCAGAGGAGGAAATAAAGGACCATAGCAGCTGAATTTGCACATCATGTATGCCAAAGCCATAATGAATATTATGGCTCAACTCGATGTGTGAATCCAGTTCTATGCTTAAACAGCTTTTGTAAAAAAAGTAGCACTTCAACATCCCTTTGATGTGTTTAACCACAGTGTATTGAATAATATCACAGCTGATTCGGGTTGCAAAACAAGCCAAGCCATAAAGCATGGTTTAAAAGGAACACAATGATTGCTTTTATATAGCTCACTTAGACACCCCTTATGTACAAGTTGGACTCACAAGCTGTGTGGGTGAATCTGCATACTGTTATCTGCATAATGTCTTGAAAGAGTACAGTCAGGGAAAATCTTCCAGATGTCTTCCACAATTTATTTATTTATCTCTCTCTCTCTCTCTCTTTCTTTCTTTCTTTCTTCATAATTTGCTTACCAAATGGCAATCTACTCAAGAATGTCAGGTGGGGGAAAATCCAGGGACTAAGGTTGCATAAAGTTAGAGGTCAAAGGGTGATTGATAAGTAAATGGAAAATCACATGTTGCAGATGGACATTTCGAAATTACATCAAAGCTCAGCTTTAATGAAGCACTGTTTCTCCTCTTCAGGCTCTTCCACACCCAGGGACCACGGAGAATTTTTGCAACTTCCTTCAGCACAAAATGTACAATCAACATAGCTGAGAAACAACACCTATCCTCCTGTACTTATTGGTGGTAGAAAGAATGCTCTGCCCCACCTTTCAAGGATGGTGACCTCAGGCAGTGGGAAGACATCACCAGCTGTTTAACCACTGGGAGGGGAGGAGGCAGATGTTATCAAAATGATGGCTCTTCCCTCCCTAAGCCATAACATGAAGCAACCAAAGGCTGACAGTGAAAACAGAACTGGGCCACTTTGTCATCCTGCATTACTGGGAATTCCCATGAGAGCAAGGATTTCTGGGAGTTGTACACCCAACACATCTGGAGGATATTTTGGGAAAGTTCCTGGACTACCTCAAATCCCAGTGTGTTTGAACTTGAGGACCTCCTGGCCATTTCTCTGATTGGGCCTCTCTCTGCATTACAAGGGTGGGGAATCTTGGAGCTGCACTACATCAAGAGAATGAGGCTGATGTTCCAGACATGTCCGGAGACAAAAGTGGGCAGCATTTTAGATGCAGAGGAAGCACTCGCTAAGATATCTATAGAGAATCATAAAAAATAGGCTTGTTGGCTATGAGAAAAAGAACCTAATGTGATAAATGTTTTTATTAAGGCCAACCAAAGTTGTGCAATAATTGAAAACTGCTGAGTTTCCTAGAACCCTTCATCAGGTTAAATTCATCATAATAATTCTGCCAGATAAACAGCTCTGAGAAAGACATGTTTACTGTTATATGACTTCAGCTGGTCTAATCAATTACTACAAAAAGCTTTCAGGTAAGTGTACATATATGCATTCAGGTCTCTCTCACACACAAAACACAGAAACATCATTGTGCTATGCTACAGTTGGCCTAAATGGGTCACGCTTGTTTGGCTTGGCACAACACACTAACCTGGAAACCATGGTTGTGAAACCACGCTGCTTGGATTCATGCATCATAGTAAGCTCTAACCATACAAACACAAAATGTGAATCCAGTCACAGGCTTAAGAGCTACAGAAAGAGCGACATTTGTACACACGCTTGTGAATGGAGATTGTAATCCACTATAGCACAGGAAGCATGCAAGTTGGAAGGGGTTGGTAGGGATGGTAACCTTTTGTGCTTCTAAGATACCTGTAGTTGTTAAGGAGAGTCAGAGTTGAGAAATGGAAAAGAATGGTCAGGAACAGTGGCAAATTCAATCCAACATGGTGGTGACTGTGCTCCAAGCAAAAAAGGGAAGGGAAGGGAATGAGATGAGATTTTGGAACCTGTGTGTAAGTCAGCTGTGGAATTTGCTGCCACATCAGATAGGAATGGCCACCAATTTGGAAGACTTTACAAGGGAGTTAAGCAACTTCATGGAATAATCATATGTTACCCCTCAATCTCAGCTGCTAGACAGAATGAAAGTGATGGCACTTGTGTCCTGCTTGTGGACTTCCCAGAGGTGGGTGTTTGAGGCTCACCATGGCTCCTGTACATACCAAAAAACCACATTTCCCCCATTACCTCTGAAGTAGACCAACATGGTCCGTTAGAACATCTCAGCGCTATACCAAACATTTCAGCCCACCCACCAGCAGCCATAAGCAATGTTAATACTGCCAACAGAGGAAGAAGGATTCATCTTGGTAACAGGAAGACTTGTGACCTACATTACAGCTGACTTCCCAGAGATTTATAAATCATGTACTACTTATGTACATACAGATTAATCAACAATATTCTTTTCTCCTGTTCACTGGTTGCCTTTGGCAAAAGCTCTGTGGATGGACTGCGAGTCTCCCATGGGAAGTTCCAAAGGGTTGGCTGGATCCAGCCTTTCTCCTTCAGCTGTTCTTCTTCATAGCTCTTGCCTTAATGTTCCAGGCAAAATACTAAGACTATAAATGCTTGTTTTCCTCGAGGCCAAAATGGTTGAGAGAGCTGTTCCTCTTCATCAAACAGAAAGGACCCACTTACCCGAGCTCCTTTCTCGGGGAAGCATTTGCAGCCAGCTGAACAATCACGACCCCCACAGACTCCATGATAAAATTTCTTCCCACCCTGTAAAAAAAAAAAAAAGAGGAGAACAAAAGTTAGCAACTTGGCATCTCTAACCCTTCCTCATCTTCCTCAGGAAGTGTTCATTTTATGGCCATTTTGACAGCTTATTATTAGGTTCTAAAACCTTGCTCATCCTTTACTGGACCCCACATCTCAGCTTGTGACATGAAAGACATAGCCCTGGACTCTCCTAACTGTAAAAGTCAGAGCTGCTGACTTTCACTTATCAAAAAGGGTTCAATGTGACACCATTTATCCAAACTGGTCAGATATAAACCACACAGCATCTCCAAAAACATCCTACTGATGGAGATGCAGAAAAACACCCAGGGCCCTAAAACCCTGAACCCTAACACATTAAAATCCAAGGTGATCAATTATAGTATAATATGGCAAAATATTGGAATAGCAGCGACATTGCAAGACACTCAGCACATAAGTACATTTTCCATCAAGAATGTGGGAACCTGTATTGTGATATTGCATTACCTTTGGGGAAATTTACTGAAGGCTGCCTGCTGCTGTGTGTGTGCGTGTGTCTGTGTGTGTGTGTATACAAGCTTTTCCGCTTTTTTTCCTCCCCTTTCACCTTACTTTCTCTACAAATCCCCTTCAGATGATGTAATATTATGTGGGAATGACCTTGGGAGACAGGAGGAAGAGCCGCAGACTGGGCAATGGCATGTAAAAGGTTTCTCAGCCCACAGAAGGAGGGGAGGCAAAGGAAGTGTTTCAGAAGGGACCCTCCCTGCTTTTCTGGAGAGTAAAAGGAGAGGAGGGGAGAAAGCCTTGTAAGATTTTATTAATGTAACCTGACAATAAAGACAGAATTAGTACTCATAGTTGTGCTTCTTGTCTGGACCACCTCAAAGAGTTAACAGATGTTCTGTACCTGAATTGCACAAAATTAGGTGGACAGCCAAAGACAGTCCATCTTCCCTTTGTATTTTTCCTACTTGATGTCACCAAGAAGGCAGCCAAGACTTGTTCTCTCTTGTTCCAGAGTATGAGAGGTCGAATACTGGATCCAAATAGGAAGAATGCTGATTCTGATGGATTGTTAAGAAAAGCTTCCTAACAGTAAAAAGCAAATTGACCGCTGGTTCCCCTTCTCTGGATGAGTTAAGAGAGACTAGAATGGTATTTGCCTGGCATGCTTTCATTTAGATTTCTGAATTGAGCAGGATGCAATGAATCTACTTTAAGAATTTATTTACAACCCCCGTCCCGCCTTTTTTTTTAATTGATGGAAAATCGTTTGTTCGGTGGGGTCTAGGGCCCTATCCTGTTTCCTCCCCCACAAAAATCCTGCTCTTTTGCCCTAGAAAGTTGGAGCAAGCTCAACCAGTGTGGGGGTGGGAGATAAAATGCTGGGAGTAAGGAAACTATGGGAATCTTACTAAGTGATTCTGAGCCAGACATAACCACTTGACCTAAACTAACCCAGAGTTATCATTGTGGGAAAAACATGGAGGAACAAGAGTTATAATGTGGATCTTGGAAGAAAGGTGAGATGTGAAGCTGATAAACAGCTGGAGATAGATCTGCAGTATGTAATTGGTGCAGGGACCCTATCGCGGGCCTCATCCACCTACCCTTTTCTCAACAAAATTAAAGCTCTGAAGTTTTAACATGCTTTGCCCTTAGAATATTGCCAACTTCCAACTTGGTCTTATCTATGTCTATTCAGACGTCCCCTTACCAGATTGCAACCAAAGTATTCTTAAAACCAGGTTAAGCAACTGTGCCTTTACGCTGTCACTGACATTTAACGGTCCATTCGTTTAACAGAATTCTTCTAAAAATGTGCACGAGGTGACCCTTTGCAAGTGTTATGTTTAAAGGTGATGTTGGGGGGGGTAGGATTTCAAATTTTGGGGGAAGGGGGATTAAGAAGCCTTGGGTTCTGCAACTGAGGGTCTGCTTGAAATTTTGGTCATCCTTCTCTCTGGTAGAAAGGGACAGTTTTTCTAGAAGTGGGGCAGAGAGTCCCTCTTGACCTGCAGAATGCTTCTTACACAAGTTTTCTTGATGCCCCCTAACCCGACTCCTTTAAACCCTTTTATGGCCGCCACTTGATTTGATTCTACCCATTTTAAAAAATGCATTTTTGTTTAAGCTTCCTGCACCAACCCTCCAGAAGCAGTCAATCAAAGCAGGTTTTATAAATCTTTTGTTTATTTCAAATATCTCATCAGCTGCCAATGTCTGCTGCAAAAGCAAGATTCCCAGAGCTCTGACACTCAAGTTGCGTGGATTGTACCTCTTTCCCACCTCATACATTACAAAGACACATACCTAATTACTAAGCATTTCATATATTCCTAGGTCCTATAGCACAGCCAGAATTGCATTTTTTATTGTTGCAGGAAAGGAAAAATACATCAACCTAATTTAGTTTTGGTTCTGGGACTCCTGCTATCTTTCTGAGGTCAGCTGTCAACACCTCTCTCCAAAGACTGACTGGGTTCCCAAAATTATTAGATAGTCTTGCTCTAGAACAACTACTTTGATTCAACTGGATCCAAACTTAGCCAGAGTAACCCTGAGCAAAGAATCCTCTTTGAAAAGAAGGAAACGTATCCTGTAAAATACTACATTCATATCTCCCTTCTAACTTTCTTCTCCTTTCCCTGTCCAAAAAGGTCACCCTGCTCACTTGTGAATGAACGAAATCTGAGAAGGGGAGGAAGTGCAACAGGGCCAGTTGGCAGAAACCCAGGTGTTGCCTGTCACACAAGCATTTTATTTACGGAAGACGCTCCTTTAGGCCCTCCCAAGTTACAGAAACAGCAGATTAAAGCATGCAGGAATCAAAATCTGCTTTTGACTTTCTGGAGGGGAATCCCAGACCCTTTCTTCTCTTTTGGAATCAAATATGGGTACATCAGTCCAAAAGAATGGGCTCCTTTAACCCCGGTTAGTTTTCACCCCACTTAGAAAAGCTGTAAAAGAGGATGGAAATCAGAACAATACAGTATTTGCGCCAATAAGTGTAACTGGACTCTAGCTAGGATTGCCTTTTAAAACAAGTAAACCTTCCAAGGAGAATAGCCAATATATTTTTACAGCTGAAACGAGGGACCTGGAGCTCTCGCGTTCTCCCCATCCCCAAAGACCTACTTCTTCCATCACTCACAAAAATACAAACCGCCATCTAGCTTAGTTACAACTCCATCCTTTGATGCTTGTTTCCTCTAAGATACTTTGATTCGTACTTTTTTTTAATACATATACATTTTATTAAAAGTTTTAAAGAGAGGATAAAAAGTAACAAAAATGAATACAGAATAAAGAAAACAAAAAAAGAAAAAGGGGCCGAAAGAAAAGATAAAAAGGCCAGAGGGGGGCCCGCACCTGTGGAGATGGCTGGTGGGATGATGGGTTGCCCCCCCCCCCCCCCC